ATCTAGAAGTGCAAATATTTAAAAAAAAAATTCTTTAAGAGAAATGGAATATTTTCACATATCGAAACAAAAATAAGTTTGTGTCCTTATTACCCTTCCTGCATTTATTTTTATTCATTTTTTTCAATGTTATGCATATAAAAACATTCATTTCTTCTTAATTTCATAATTGGTATCCAATTACTCAATTTAGTACAGTTTAATTTCTGACAAGAAATTTCTTATAAAAGTGATTTTTGTAAAATACAACTTTAAAATAATTCTTGAAGACAGAAATTTTTAGGATTTAAAGATGATCTGAAAAGGCACATTTTTTGTTTAAATTGAAGTAAAATTGACGTATAATTAGTTTCAGGTGTACAAAATGATTCAGTATTTGTGTATACTGAAAAATGATTACTACATCAAGTCTAGTTATCCGTCACCATACATAGTTACAAAAAATATTTTTTTGTGTGATGAAGACTTTTAAGATCTACTCTCTTAGCAAAATTCAAATAAGCAATACAGTATTATTCTGCATAATAAAAACCTAATATGCAAATCGACCGAATGGTGCAACAACTGGCAGAACAACTGGTGACTATGACACACACTGACCAGGGAGCAGACGCTCAACGCAGGAGCTGCCCCCAGCCCGCAGGCCCCAGGCCAGCCAAGGCGGGTGCCAGTGGGGCCTCCCCAATCTCCCTGCAGATCGACCCACCAGTTGCCCTGCAGATCGACCCTGATCACCAGCCAGGCCTAGGGACCCTACCCATGCAAGAATTTCTTGCACCAGGCCTCTAGTTAATAATAATAATCATGTTGTACATTACATCCCAGGGCTTATTTATTTTATAGCTGGAAGTTTGTACCTGTGGAGTCTCTAGACACATTTTGCACACACACACCCAACAACCAATCTGTTCTCTGTATCTGTCAACTATGTGTTTTTTTTTGTATTTCAGATTCCAAATATAAGTGAGATCATATAGTATTTGTCTTTCTCTTTCTGGTTTCACTTAGAGTAATACCTTCAAGGTCTAAACATTTTGTTGCAAATGGCAAAATTTCATTCTTTTTTATGGCTGAATAGTATTTTATGTGTGTGTGTATGTATGGACTAATTTATATTTAAGTTTTATTTTTAGGATATTATGTAGTAACATCATTATTTATTTATTTATAATTATTTTTTAAATTAAATTTTTATTCAGATTATTACAGTTGTTCCTCTTTTTTTCCCCCCATAGCTCTCCTCCACCCAGTTCCCACACCACCCTCTGCCCTTACCCCTCCCACTGTCCTCATCCATAGGTGTACGATTTTTGTCCAGTCTCTTCCTGCACCTGCACACCCCTTTCCCCCCAAGAATTGTCAGTCCACTCCCTTTCCATGCCCCTGGTTCTATTATATTCACCAGTTTACTCTGTTCATCAGATTTTTTATTCACTTGATTTTTAGATTCACTTGTTGATAGATATGTATTT